CACCGACCCCCCGGCCGGCCGGCCCGCACACCTCACCCACCTTTGTGTATCTTGTTTTCCTGCTTTCGGCACTTTGCTCTCCTGTTCTGGAACCAGACCTGCGGAGAGAAAACGCAAACAAAAACAAAACAGAACAAACAAATGGAGGTAGACCAGGCAGCTGCTAAGAGGGAGAGGATTATCTCGGGGGCCGGGGACTGGGCGCAACTTTGCTGAGGTCTCTCCTCGGGAGCAGCCCAAGGGGAGAGCTCAGCCCTGGGCGGAGGAAGCCCCTCTGCGCTGGAGGGAGAAGGTTGGGGGGGGTGTCCTCCTCTCTGGTGTGGTTTCTCAGAGGGAGCTGAAGCTGGGAGACCGGGAACCGGCCCCTTCGCACCGGGCAGGGGCCGTCCTGGTGCCACCCGGCTGGAGCAAAGGCCTGCTCCCACCATCGCTTAAAATAAGCCCACAGCGCAGGCCCGGTGGGACCCTTGCCCCCTGTCCAGTTCACACTTCAAACGCGCCGGGGACGGCCAGTGTGGTCGGACTCTGGGGTCTGGCCCCTACGCGACAGGCCCGCCTGCCCGCTCCCGAGCTGGGCTTCGAGATGGTGAAGATCTCCGAGAAGATGCGAGATCCTGAACTTGCACTAAAGGGGCTGAATCATTCCGCGTTCCCCAAACTCTAAGAGACAACAAAACCGGCTTCTGTAGCCTTCTGGACAGACAATAGCAACATCTTAGCAGGCTGGGGTGTAAAGCAGTGCTCTTGCCCCCACCCGAGACACGCCTGTAACCCAGCAATCCTGCCCCAAGGTCCTGCCACCAGCCAGCGAAGAACCTGCGGCTCCCACCGCGCCTCGTCCCGGGGGGCTGCAGACCGGCCGGACTTTCCCCCTTCCAGCTCTCCCCAGGGGATCGGCAGCGGCACGGGCCAAAACGTTTTGGGGACCCTCATCCTTACGCCAAAACCTACCGAATATTGTCAAACATTGACTTTCACCGCTGACAAAAATCTTGCAGCTAAGTAAACACCTACAACCTTTGATGTTCTTGCACTTGCCAAGAGATCATACGGTTAATTAATACTAACTGCACTTCCTACATCAAATTTTCCCTTCAAGCTTTCTTCAGTTGCCTTAATGAAGGTCATTTACAACAGAGTAATTAGCGCAAAGAAAGGCTTCCAAAGGCATTAATTACCTCGGGTACCTCAGTGATTTTCTTAAGCAGGACTGGGCCTCCTGCTGCCCGGAACGCGCAGCAGGGCGCAAGCCTGTGCTTCCCGGCGAGCCACAGGCGAGTATCAGCAACGCGCGGCGCGTCTCCTTTTAACCGAGCCGGTCGGGGCTTATACATATTAAAAAAAAAAAAAAAACAGCATGCAAAATATCATCGTGCTACAGCGACAATAATACATTTTTTTACGGTTGTAAATCCTTGCAGGAAATCTCCTTGTGTGTGTTCCCCACACCCCCACACCACCCCAAAGGAGTATAAATTGTCAGGAGGAATTTAAGCAGCGTTTAAACAACTCCTCTCGCAAATCAGAACATCTTTCAAACAGAAATTTTATTTAAATCTGGAAAACGAAGTGCCCTTTCCCTTTAGCTATGAAAAAATAAGGTTATGAGGAATAAAAGTGATGAATTAGCCACTGCGTTAAGCGATAATAAATCAGGCTTGGTGTGATTCACGATCAATTCCAATTAGTCATGAATATGCTAAGTAAAGCACAGTACACTGTTTTAGACAGTTATTTCTTCATTAAGGATCACTCAGTGATTTCTTTCACAAATGCTCTAATCTGATTTCCTTTTGATTTCCATTAGAGACAGTGAATAATGACATTTAATTTAGCCCTGCACCATAAACCCAAAGATATTTGTTGTAATTGAATTACTGCCTGCTCCTCACTATGGTCTCATAACTTTCAATTATAACCCTGACAGCTGGGTGATATGAGTTTCCAGTACAACACTAAAAATAAAAGGTTAATAAGGACTAGCTACCATAGGAGCTTCAATTTATTTACAGCAAATTTCCACACTAAATTGAAACTATATCCTTTAACAGCAAGGGACAAGCGGTTGAGATAGGAATTAGAGAACAATTCTGAAAGTATTAAAAAAACCCTGTCCCTTTTCCCCCTTTCTTCTTTTTATCCTCTTCCATTTCTTGATGGATATCAAGCTCTCTGCTTATTCCCTAATTCATTATCAGTTTCTCCTCTTTTCGCTCTTGATATTTCTTTTATTTCTAGCTTTATTTTCATTCAAATCTCTTTTGTAAGATTATTAAATTTATTAATTTTTTTATCTCTCTCATAATCTCCGCCTGAATCAGCATCTCTTTTTCCACCTACAGGAATAGCCTTGCTAGTGCTGTTGTAACTGTTTGTCTTTGAGTAAGGCAGAAATATATATAGCTTTGTTGGTTGCTTAGTGTTTTGGACTGTTAGAACTGTGTTGATACATCATTTTGTTGGTTGAAGGAGGCTTTCAGGTGTGGGGTTTTTCCCTCCTTTTTTTTTTTTTTTTTTTTTTTTGTGCAGTTTTAAGATCTGTAAGCACTTGAAGCACCAATTTTCCTGTAACTGTGAACATCCTGTTAAGGTGCTGCTCAGTAATAAAGTACTTGAAAGAAAGAGTGCAGAATTGAATTACAAGTAATTTATTTTTATAGAAACAGTACATCAAGGCCTCGGAAAGATATTACAGAGCCCAAGTAAGAAGATCTGGGAAGATGACATAAGAGTTGATGTCCCCTTCAGCAAAAGTTTAATCTTTTCATTAATTTATGTGGTGTGGTCAGATCAATCTTCCAGCAGAGAGCAGGCCGGCAGCACTCTGAACCCCC